ACCAACGATCTGGGAAAATTATGTGATGAACTGAAAATCTGGCACAAGGATAAAAATGATACTTTCTACTGAGAGCATTATGACTTTTGTCGCAGCAATGAAGCTTGCTTAATATTCGACTGGGATACCATTTCTAAAGGTGAAACATTATGAATGTTGGTTAGTCTTTTGTTTAAGTTCTGCCAGTCTTAACTGACGATAACACAACAAAAATAAAACGAGGTAAATTACGTTTATGGCGGCCCCTTTAATCTCCTGCGTTGTGTCCCTTTTATTCACACGCGGGTCGGAATGATAACAATCGGAAGTGAGCCAGTTGTTCTGACACGTTGGCATTTCAGCACTGTTCACAGATAAAGATGCGGCCAGGATGAAACGGCTTCAACTATCGAAGCTGATTCGCCCACGGCGCATGGTCAGGAATAAACTATCTGTACCAAGCATTTGGTTGGCCAATTACAGTACCACCAGAAAGAAACCGTCCAATCCTGAAAACCCATAGACTCTTTGACAGATGAACACTACAAAAAGGGCTTTATTTGCATTCAGCGTTTTCAAACTCAGGACGTGGTGGGTTCGAATCTCAAATGAGAAAAATTCTTCTCTCAATTTACTTGAATAAGGACTAAGTTGACATTGTTTTGGTGGATAATTGCGGTGGATAATAAGCGACTAGCAAGTAGCTGATTTGTGTGCAGTAAAGAGAGCATGGTGCTTCAGTAGGTGGTCATATTAGAATGAGTGAGAATTGGGGCCATACTGTGAACATAAGCGTATATTTTGGCTGCATTTCACCCTGACCAACGTGATAGCTGACTATGTAGTGTGATTATCAATACAAGATGTAAATTCTGTTGTTTGTCCTACGTAGAACTGTTTCAGAAAGCACAATGATTTCTGTCGAACATGATTACCAATGAAGTCTCAGTTGATCGACGTTGTCCAGAGACGCTGTGAGTATTTACTGAGACTATATGAATATTTAACTGGGCCAGAAATGATACGAAACGACGAAGAGCTCAACAGATGCATTGTTAAAAATAAATGCATTGAAAATGCGCATGGAAACTGTTAGATTCCGTTCATAATTTCGACTCAATGACATTGCGATGGGCAGCTCTCTCCCATACCTCCGGTCTCAATGACATTGACTCAAAGACTGAAAAATTTAAAGTCAAAGAATCAGTAATTATAGCATCTCAAAAGGGTAAATTTAAATTGCATTATCTCACATTTCCTCGTCCATAAAGTAATCAGATGGTATTTGAGCAATATGACAAATATGGATAGAATGCAATGAGAGTTGAATTCGAAAGTAGCCAATGAAAAATGACAGTAATAAGTGGCAATATTTCTTCAAAATTTCAGGTGACAAAATAACTCCCTTCAGAGTAAAGTGTATCCTCGGCTCTGCAGATCAATGTTCTTTCCCTTCCCTTCCACTCGTGAAACAGATATGGAGTCTATGAACAAGATGGATACCGCAGCTGCAATTATGGCCTAACAAATCCGTCTCAACCGGTAAAAGTTGCCACAGACTCAAAAAGAAAATCCAGACAGCTCTCATGAGGATCAGTAAGGAATCGTGCGCAGAGTTGGGGTCATGATAATTAACATTTGGTCAATTACCGCGTCATGTCCTTGAGAGGAAGTGAAAAGAAGAAAAGTTATAGTGGCGAAATATTCCAACAGCGTGTAGAAATCATTGCTAAAAGCGGGTTCACGGTTAGTCAACAGATTTTTTCTCAAACTATGTACATGGAAGAAGGATGCACCACTTAAGTAGTAGATGAAGTTGGTAGAGCATTAGATTCATAGCCCTGGTTCAATCACTCATCTTTCGTTCATTATACACAGATAATGACTACGCGAAAAAAAAGAGCACAAGAACTGACACCCATGACGGAAGTGCAGCATAGATGGAGGTCCAACCGGTTATGGGCCCTCTCTTTCTGTTTTTCTTCATTTGGAATAACTAACAGGAACTTTGGTGTTATACTTATACTGTAGACCTCACAGAGGACAACGTTCAAAAAGTTTATCGACTGACCCGTGATTGATGATGCATGCGCGGTCACGATTTACAGATATGAGCATTACCTTCACCGAAGGGGTTCATCAGATCTTCGCCGACTTTCAACCAGCCCATGTAAAAGAGGAACTGAAGAATGGTGAAAATTGGAACGTATATGTCCGGCTCATCTGCTGCTCCAACCATTTGCCGGCCCACAAGACAAATGGTGAAATAGCCGTAAGTAGCTATGGCTACCACCTGTGTGTACACCAGCGGGACGCTGACCCAGTCGTACATGACGAGCATTCCGAAGCCGCTGCGGTATATTTGCAACTCCTTGATCAGACTCTTCAGCAGTACCGAGTCGATCACTTTTTCGTCATGGCACTTTTTCAACAGATTCGACACCCAGACCAGCGGCAACCACCACTTGCCGTACGGAGCCTCGGTCCTCTCGAAGGTCTCTAGTTCCTCGGGCATCATGAGACCGGCTCTTACCAGGTGATCCATTGTTGGAAACCGTTTGATCGTTCGGATGCACAGACCCCTCCAGCACAAAGCCGAGGCGAGGTTGCACCAGCGGGCGATCGTGCGTCGTAGCAACAAGTACTCAGGACCACGAATATACGTAGTCACGAAACACATGAACCTGTCGGGCCACATGATCAAGCTGCACTGGTCCCACCACCGGGTCACGACGGTTGATACGAAGAAACCAAGTAAGAAGGTAATCGGAATATATTGCGTCGCTTTCTCGCAGTAGATCACCAGCACTTTGAAAGAGGAGCGCTGCTGTTCGTTGAACGCGTAACGGTACGCGAAGTTGATGACGTAGTAGATCGTGAGGAAAACGAGGAGATCCCTCCAGATGGACTTCCATAGACTGCCCTTCCATCGTAGCAACAGTTTGCCGAAGTTATCCGAGTAAGAAATGGTCATGGCAAGGCGATGGGACTTGCGCCTCCCGGCCTGCTCGATCTTTAACCAGCACGGGAGAAACTCCGTCCTCCACAGGAACACCTAGATTTGCGATCAACCCTACGCGGCGCAAAAATACTTTCACAACCAGTGAAGGCGCAGGTAAACCGGTCCGTTACAGGATGATCGAAAAACGACCGTAAGACTTGTTTTCTAGACAGGTGACCGATGGAGACTGTGACGACGACGTTGGCCAATAGCCGTTGGCTCTAAGCATGAAGTGTCGAGTTTGTGACTAGTGCTTTGATGAAGTGATCAAGTACCGAATCCATCAGGCGTCATGGTTGAGCCGTTGACACGGCATTAGAACGCGGACTTTCATCCTGCGTTGCCTTAGGGGTCTTGAAAAAAGGGAGACAATTGTAGCGACTGAATTGGAGGGGGGAGGACGAGTCAATTCTACGATGATTCTCTGATGATTTGTTTGCTACAAATTCTCCTGTTTTGAAAGATAATAATAAGCGGTTCTGCCATTTCCAATAAAATTGTGAATTATTTAAATTGCTAGCTGAATGCCTGAAGTTTTCTGGGCTTTCATTTACGATTTGCTGCGCCAACCATTTCTGTATCTAACTGATTGAGGCCGCGAACTTAAACATTAAAGGCACCTGTATTTAACACGTACTTTTAATGCAATTGCAAAGCTTCATATTTTATATATCTAAAAATTGCTATGATAGGCTCGCGTACTCTGAACAGCGCACAGTTCTTGATGATTAATGAAATGCAGTGAACAAACTCAGGGAAACCAGGCACCCTGGAACATCTAGGGCCAAAAATGGTCCTTTTGAAACTTCATGATAATTTAGGTTAGTCTGCCGGCGTATTGGCTAGAGGTGCGGTAGCACAGTGGCAAGGAAATTGGATTTTAACTGCAAAGGTTCCGGGTTCGAGTTCCAGGAGAGGACAGAATCTGCTTCCTCGATAATTCTCTTGAGCATGAAATTGACCCCACCTTGCCAGGTGCAATCAGCCGAGAAACAGACATTTAATCATGGACTTGCGAATGACAAGGCCAGCGTGGTATTCTTGCATGATCATGTCAAAATGGCTAGTTGTATGGTCCGACTATCCTGTATAAGCCTCTGGTTGCTAGACTAATTTGACCCCTTAAACACAGGTATATCAATGCTACTAATCAACACAAGGTGTAAAACGTGATGTCAAATAATCGGTCATTGAATGTTTACTAAACGATGGATGGTCATACTGAAGTATTCTGTCACTACCCACGCACAGTCTGTTGTCACTGTAGCAGCTGTTCCATTTTGAGTATAACTGCAAGCTTTGGTCAATGTTGCTGCTTTAACAGTGTGTCGCTACAAGCCGCTGTGGTTTATTACCTGGTATACTGACTGCATTATGTTGTGTGTAATTCAGTCGTTTTAATGCTGTTTCAATAAACGCCTATCACGTCATATTAAACGACTGAAACAGCTACAGTACTCATACCAGTAACTCAGGCATGTTCAGTCCTTCCTTATCTTTCATTGAGAATTCCACACGGCCTTGTACACTTCATCAGCTTTGCATGTCCATTAGAACCGATTCTTGCCATTCCAATTGTGAAAGTGTGCAAGGTGGCCATTCAAAATGGGTATTTAATCTTTTGGCTGTCAATCAGGCAGGAGGAAAAATTAAAGCATACATATTTAAAATCTACCGTTAACGAACAATATGAATAACTGTTTCCATTTACACAAGTGAGTGAAAAATCTCTGCACAAATCATGGTTTTCTTTTAACCGTCGTCATCAAAATCATAATTGTAGTCATCATCATAGTTCGTAGTGGACAGAGTACCGTTGCTTCAACGGTTTGTAGAAGTATCTGTCAAATATAAGAGGGCGTCCAATGTCGCTTCTGGCTGTCTTTCTGTAACTTGCCTCCGTCAAGCAGGAGGAGGTTGAGAAAGATATCAAAACGACGACTTTTTTATATGGGCAGGTGCTCGTTCATGAGTTAATGTCAACCAGCTTTCAAAACAGCACCACTTTGCCAGCCAGCCAAAACTGTTGATCATTTATAGCGCACTTTATTCTCAGAACAATACTTGCATTCTCATAATATTTTGGGAATCATAAATTATATACCATATTTATTAAATCATAAGTTAATGTAACGGTAAGGTAATATGTTAGTATCTTGATACACAAAGCAATGCTGACGACCAAAAATGTTATTGGTCGATATGCCGGCAATAAGATTTATTGAATTTGTGTCTCTTTTAACATTAAGTCAGTCATAGCAAATTGCGAGTTTCACTACTTACGACGCTACCTAAAGAAACTGAGTGAGGTAACGGATGGAAAAATGCTACGACAATTAAATACTTCTGAAATATTTCGAGATTATGAAGGCCATCAGGAATATCAGCGCAGTCTGGGACAAAGTGTCTTGCGCTTGTATAAAAAGTCCAAGAATGAAACTGCCCCCAGAGAACTTTCACATAAATAATTTTTCAGGTTTCTGATTCTATCTAGGCCCAGAGTAATATACATAGTTGTTTGAATGATTCATGGTTCGGGACGCCAAATACAACAGATAGTAAACAATATAATCGCAGCGCGTTTAACGGCACAAACCGCAGCATCATCAGGGCTGGACTGAATACAAATGATGTTTGAAGACATTTATGTCCAACAAGGGGCAATGTCACTTTTTCAATTGGATCCTCATACAGTCATAATGTTGTTAATCTGTCTGTACAAAGTATAAAAATACATCAAAATAAATCGGATCTTTGTCATTCTGATCCATTTTTGAGTACCAGTTTTGCGATTTGTACGGTTATTCATAGCCAGAATATGCAATGTCTCCTTTATCAGCAGACCTAGTTTTGATTGGTCTTTATCTGTGACAGAAACATTCGTCTCACTGAAAGAATGCCCTTCAGTAATCGCATGCTGAGCGATATCAGATTATCGGTCTGTCCAAGACAGACCGAAGCAAGGTGCTGTTTTATACGGATGTTCGACTTCCAATTGGTCATTCATAAATACACTTTGTCGCAGTCCCTGCACTGATCTTTGTATACTACCTTTAACACATCTTCAGGATTATTAATTGGCATGTACCTTTTAAATCAGACGTCGCTCAATGTTCCGCCAGTCTTGTAGTAGTTTCTAAACCCCATGTCATTAAGGTACCTGGTGATACGTTGCGATACCTCAGGTATCCTCCTTCGGCAACCGCTTTGTGAAGATGATAAATTTAGGCGTCTAGGCCAGAAATGTGAGTGCAGGTCTCTTAGGCTTGCAAATGAACGTTCTTCACCACGTTCCTAAGTAACCCAGGAGAGACACATGATGTCGGGTGCAGGTGTTGATTAGAGTGTGCTGGATTCCGATATAAGTAAACCTAAGATTGAAAAGCTAGAGTCCTTTCCATTAGTACGTCCTGAAAGGATATACAGAAGTTAACTTACACTTCCGTAGTAAAGCGTATTCGATTATTTTTATCCTGTCCAATCATGTAATTCACGATACATTTCAACCATTTCGGTTCGCCCTCACTTCGTTGGAATAATAAGAGAACGTCATCAGCGAATCGAACATAGAACAATGGTTGGAATTCTGGCGGGCATTCCTTTAGAATCAGCTAAAACAAGACTCACCGGGGCGTCCATCGGAACGTCGTATTTCGCGTTCAGGTAGGAACTGTTCGTGAATTTGAAACAGGAATCATTCATCAAAAGGCCAAAAACTGCCACGCTGCAATTTCTTAACGCGCTTTCAGATGCTCTCCACTCTTCCATCGTGATCTTCAAAATGTCGGGTAAAATATTAACCAGAGTGTTAGTATTCACATTAACAGCAGCTAAAGTTATGCTTCTTATTAAATGAAAAAACGGCTTATGTTTTCGTATTTGCGTCATACAGAAAAGCAAACAACCATTCAGATAAAAATTGTGCGAAATGTGGCATGAGCTTTTGGAGCGGGATTCAAAATTCAAATCGTAAAAATGACGTTAGTCATTGGAAGGAAGGTCAAAATTGTGACAAGAGAATTAGCTGCGCCGACCTTTCAGCTAATGTGACCATATGTCAGTGAGTTGACAGCTACGGAATCGAGGGGAAGCTCTTCATACATATTCTTTGAGCCGATTCATTCGTCGGTGTTCTGATTGGTCATTAGTTAGAAAACAGGGCAATTATGTTAATGCCGTTGGCAAATTTGAAAACATGTTGGTGTGTCATCGTAAATAAGCAGAGAGTTAGCCCTACCTGCCTGACAAAAAATAACGACTAGCTTTTAGCAAGTTAGATGAGAATGCCTGAAGCCATTGATTTCTTAAAAGGAATTTAACGGCAGAAAATTTAAGTAGAGTAAAATCTTAGAAAAGCTTAACAATGAGGAACTCATGCCTTTATTTTAGATAAACGGATGGTACACTTTCACAGTTCACACGGAAGAAAATAAGGAAGAAGTAAATCAAGACAAATAAATAAAAGAAGCTCAAGTTTCTTCGCCTGGTAACAACTGAAATTACGAAATAGTGACACTCTCAAGCCAAAGGATTATCTGGCAAGGATGTGACTCAAGATTGCCATCGTCTGCGGAATGAACAAAAAAATTACTTCAACGATCTGTATCATCAACACTGTATTTAAGCATGTCAACTACGTTTTGTGCAACAGAATCAACAATCGCGGAACGAGTTTATGGATCCATGTGATGAGGCTTCCAACAAGCGATAAACATTTGCCAGTAAATATTTGCAATAGGTTTCTGTCGATACCTTCTCCACAATTAGATTAAATTTCTTCTCTCTGACAACAAAGCTGCTAGCGGCACAAGTGGTACTGTCATGCTAATGCGTTAAATACTGACATTGAACAAATATTGTATACAAGACTTCATCACTCTTAACACTGTATGATCTGACTGACTAAATGATTGAACTGAAATAGATAACTGAATACATGACTAACATAACGTGTCAAGGAAACTCACTTATGT